AGCGCCACCGCGCTCCCAAGCGGCGCACTGTAGCAGTGCGCCACCAGGCCGGCCCAGAAAGCAGAAGTTTTAATGCATGTAAATTATAAGCCAATAAGACTGTTAGAAAAGAATATATGAACATATATTCTTATTTTTTTCTCCAGTTGCCTTAAATAAACTAACAACAAGGATTAAAAAAAGTCACTAGCAAAAATGTTTACAGAAAGCATCTAAATAGTAGTCTACTTAGAAGACAAGCTATATAGTACTTTTTACTTTTTATAAGCAAAGATAGATGCTCTAATAAGTTTTCTCTAGAAAACATTTTCCAATGTTCAATTTCCTGGGGCTTCGTGGATTAACGTATTTTTATTTTGAAATATGCCTTTACCCAAGAATGTTAGCTCAATTTTTAAGATTAGGTAGAAATTTTGAACTTTTAAAAAATCAAAATTAGATTTAAATAACTCAATTGTTACTGTTAAATCAAATTTCTATGTCTAAAACAAAAATTAATTAGAATGATGGTTTCAATCCTATTTATGAAGAAACTAATTTCCTGTTGTTAGTCATATCTTCAAGCATTATCTTTCTGGATTGTTACTACTATTCTTCATGCTTGTATAAATCTGAAATTTCCTTAAGATGTAATGTGTGGTCTTCACTTACCAAATCCTGTTTAGGAAAACTTGGTGATTTATCACTTAGTAATGGTCTTGAGGCAAGAATCTCTATTTTGCCTTCCAGTCTTCCCTCCATGGTTTTAATAGCATTCAAAAGAGTCTTTAGAGAGACTCTAGAGTCTCCAACCTCTTGAGATGTTCTCATGGACGGCAGGGTAGGTGCAAAAGTCACACGGCGTGTAGCATTTGGAATAACACTAGGCAAACCAAGTGATGACGTTCTTTCCTTTACAATGCTTACATGAGGCCTAGAGCTTTCAAGAGATTTTGAAGACACAGGCCTCTCTGGAGATTTCCTTCTTCTTGGAGGCATTGCCAATTAAAAACAATAAAATCAACTAAACCTAGAGTTATTTTTCAAGGAGTACCCACTTTGCTAGGGGAAACAACACAAACAATGTCCTGAAAGAAGCCGCAATGGAACAAATATTTGAAATTGTGTTCCTTTGCTTTCAGAATGAAGAGATCACACTGTAAAGTATAACCTAGTGAGACCTTGTACAAAATCCCCTGGAGGACGGCTTAGCTAATGAGGCCCCCTTTACCAACTTTGTGACCTCATCATTCATCAGTAGAGTCAGCAGGTTAGAACGCTATGAGCATTCTACCTGAAGACATTCTATATCCTTGGTTATCAGGGGTGTCTATATACACAAATGTCATAGACACAGAAGTTACATATGCTTATACTAAGAGTTAAAGATTTTTAAATACTCAGTCTAATTACATACATGGTAAATTTGTAAATCACTGAAACAAATCACTTTCTTTTGGTAACACATTCCTGGGTTATGTTCTTCACTAAATATTTTATATATCTTCCTTGTTTAACTTTTCTTCATTCATTTGTTAAAATGTTCTGTGACCTATAAAAGGTTTTCAGCCTTAATAGCACCATGCTGACAAGTAAGCACCTGCACTACTAATACCTCTTTCAGGTGAGCTTGTCTGTCACAGGTATACCTTGTTGGCACTGAGTTCTGAGTTTGCCTATAATAATTCAAAAAACAAAGATACTTGTTCCTCATATCTGCCGAAATTATTAAGGCTCAAATTCAAAAACAACTTCCTCAATGAAAGAATATCTTGATGCTTCCAATCATAACAATGTCCCTATGAAGGCTCATTAATACAATCTAATCTATTTTTTTTAAAGGCATAACTTTCTATTCTATAATGAAGTTTATTGAGTACATTCTTAACTGTCCTTTTAGAAACAAGCTGAATGTCCCAATATTGCTTCAGGCATCTTTATGACCTCCTCTATGATGTAGCAGAACCTTGTACAAAGTAGGTGTGTAAAAAATGTTTGTTGGATTGAGTCAAGTGAGAGGATATTCATCTTTCTGGGATGGTATGGTAAGGTGGGGAGAAAGGCATCAAAAAAAATTTTTAAAACTGAAACAATATAACAACAGTCTGCTTTTGCAGATATTAATCACACCTGAGCATATTTGGCCTCTAGAGCCTTATTCATTTTGCGTAGATGTTCATTCTGTAAACTGGTTTCAGTAAAAGAATGTAGTTGTTCTTCTAGTTGTTCAACTTTTATCTAGAGGAAAAACAGAAAAATAATAAGTTTCATTAATAATACACACACATGAAAGTATTTCAAAAGTTTTGTAAAAAAATTACAGAGAATCCTTAAAACTTGCAAAAAACAATCCTAAGCTTTTCTAATCATGCAAAGAATGTTATTTTATCTCAGACCTAAAGGTAGGCTATAACCATTTAAATATAACTCATTTGCTTTCTATTGTTATGGAAACTCCAAATGGACCTGATTCATGAACATAACAGTAAGATTTTATAGTTAATATATTTCAATTTTAAAGGAATTGTGCTATCTTGCATTAAAAAATCCTTTTGAATATTGATAATTAGCACTGTCAATGTGCAAGAAGCAGACATAGAGTCCTGTTTTTTACTGACAAAGAACTACAAAGATTTGAACAAAAGGAATTTTTGTATGTTGAATTATATTTTAAAACTAACTCATAAAGATGATTACTCACATTTATCTCTTTAAAGTATCATTTGAGGGGATACAATCATTAATGTAAACTCACAAATGTCCAAATTCTGTGTTTTTCCATGTTTTCTTCTTCATATCCCCAACCCTCTCATACAAAACAACAATTAACATTACTGGGCCTATCCCTGAATCAGGAAAAATTTCATCCAAAATTTTTTATTTAAATCAACTTTTTCCTCTCTTGATAGCTTTCCTTGTTTCCTACCTGTGGAGGGCAAACACCTCTTTGTAGCTACTGGACATTTTCGAGAACCATTAAAATTTTAGCACTAACAATTTTTTTTTTTTGAAAGGGCATATAAAATCCATTTCATCTCAGGAAATCTTTATTGTTCCTTCTTTCTCTCACCTCTGCCTCTTTCTGTTGCTCCCTTTCTACTGTGTACAGTGTAAAACATGCTGTGGCTCCCTAAAACCAGCAGTAAAAATTTATCATGGTTTTCATGTAAGGTTCAGAATTAAAATGGCTGCCTGTAAAGGGAGGTATTGATGTAACAATTATTCTCATTTTAAACATAAACAAGCTGCTGTTAATCCATAGAACCCAAGGGAATAAATGAACTGCACTCGACTTTAAAGACTTTTAGGTTTGCTTCTCTTCAAGTAAAACAGAATGTCCTTATTCCCCAATATTCCTAAGATAATTTATCCTACTTTAGCCCCTGATTACCCAATAAAATGCCATGAAACTCATCAGATGGCATGTTCTTATATATGAAGCACTTTAATTTTTATACTGTTTCTTATTTGGCAGAATTTCTTACTCAGGGCATTCAAAATGGGAAAGAACATAGGAGGTTAGGTTAGAAGCAAATAAATCCTATTGCCTCTCAGAGATCTGGTGTTTCTATGATCTTTAAAATCCAAGCAGTTTGTATAACCAGCTTATCGGCCAGTCTCAGGAACAGCAGTAACTGACTTCAAGGTCATATATTCATATTGCTTCAAATGGCCTAACTAACCATATAGTTATAAAAATATTAACACTATAGAAATTACAAAACAACTAGGAAATGGAAAGAACCCTCATTTTAATGTTTTATAAAATCCAAGTATTTTAAATTAATGCAATCAATATATTTTACAGGTTTTTTTTTTTCAATTCATATAGTAAATTTGAAATAAAGTAGGATATGACTATAATGTTAGTTGACTTATAGTTTGTAATGAGCTTCAGAGTTGAAACTATCTGAACTGCTGAAGTTAAATATTTTGACTAAAAGCTCAAAAATACATTCAGGAAATCTTGATAACTTCAGAACAGCATAGTTTTTTTTTTTCTTTTTAAAACGCTTACCTAATGTTCATATAATTGAATATCTTGCAGCAATGCAAATCAAAGAACCACCACAACATATAACAACATAGATGAGTCTCACAATTATTAATGTTGGGTGAAAGAAGGAGGACATAAAGTATATACTGTGTGAGCATATAAAGCATAAATACAGGTAAAACTAAGGTGGGGTGTTAGAGGTCAAGATGGTAATTACCATGTGGCGGATAAAGACATTCTATATCCTTGGTTATCAGGGGTGTCTATATACACAAATGTCATAGACACAGAAGTTACATATGCTTATACTAAGAGTTAAAGATTTTTAAATACTCAGTCTAATTACATACATGGTAAATTTGTAAATCACTGAAACAAATCACTTTCTTTTGGTAACACATTCCTGGGTTATGTTCTTCACTAAATACTTTATATATCTTCCTTGTTTAACTTTTCTTCATTCATTTGTTAAAATGTTCTGTGACCTATATAAAAGGTTTTCAGCCTTAATAGCACCATGCTGACAAGTAAGCACCTGCACTACTAATACCTCTTTCAGGTGATTATTCTGGGTACTGGGAATGTTCTGTTTCTCGATTTGAGTGCTGATCACATAGGTATGTTTGCTTTGTAAAAAAAAATCGTCAGGGGCCGGCCCGGTGGCATACTGCTGTAGTGCGCCGCTTGGGAAGCGCGATCCCACATACAGACCGGTTCCCGCTCACTGGCTGAGCGAGGTGCGGGAGCAACACCGAGGTTTGCGATCCCGTTGCTGGTCCCGGTCCGGTACGGAGGCGACACTGAGGGTTGCGATCCGTTGCCGGACACGGAAAAAGACAAAAAAAAAAAATCGTCAGGCTGTACCCTGTGCACTTTTTGGTATGTATGTTATAGAGTTCAATAAAAAATTGACTAAACAAAAAACAAACAAAACCCTTACTTAATCTCTAAATTAAGGTCACAAAGGCAGTTGCTCACAGTGGCTAGACAGCCAACATAATGTTTGAATCCAGCTGGTGTAAGTGATGGGGTCAATGGTAGATTAGAGGGAAGCTAAGGAACTCAAACTGACATATGTTTAAAAATAATTCAAATAGTGTTAGAAATCTTTCAGACATATATAGCAATATACCAGCTATCCATCATTCAACTTAAAAAAATAAAACATTACCAGTACAATTGAAACCTTCTATGTAGCCTATCCCAACCAAATCTCTTCCCTCTATCCTACAGTTAACTGATATGCTGAATTTATTATTATTCCCATACTTTTAAAAATAATTTTGCTATATATTATCCCTAAACAGTATATAATATTATTTTTTGAGATTCATCCATGTTAATACATGTAACTCAAATGTACCTATTTAGTATACCCTCTTACATATACTGATATTAAAACTGGCATAACTATCTTTTGGAGAAATTTGACAAAATCTAGTAAAATTCAAGATATGTACATCCTACAACCCAGGAATTCTACTCCTAAGAAATATACCTAACCTACAGAATCTTTTGCATATGAGTATAGGGAGACATGTATGCAAATTCATCATATCAGCACTGTTTGTAATTATTTGCAAGCAATTGGACCCTAGCTAAATATCCATCAACAGGAAAAATATATTGTAGTATATTTATATAATGGAATACTACACAACACTCAAAACAAAATTTGAACCACGTCTGAATGTGAGGCAGCAGTTTCTGACACAGTATAAATTAACACCTAAAATCCAGTATTTATATTTTTAACTAATAAGTTGATTCTGAAAATATAATCTTTTACCTAATATGATTCCTATGTAATATTTTTAATCCATTACAATTCAATTGAGAGAAAACACACAGCAGATGGTTTTGACTGTGTTTAGTATGCAGCTCTTCCTTTGAATTATCTTTCAAGAGTTATATGGTACAACAGCACTTTCCCTAGGGCTGATGAAGTCTTTTTGGAAATGTGCTTTTGGAATGTGCCAGCCCAAGGCTTGACATAAAAGTGGCAGTGAATCAATAGTTTACAAAGTGTATCAGCCTTTAAACACAACAAAACCCATAAGCCCTCTTTATAGAAATATAGGCAGCAGAAAAGGCACATATTTGACTCATGATTCCGGGAGTGGTAATCTTTAAGATTACGTAGTTGAAGTCTAAAAGGTCAGATAGATAACATCAGACCCATTTATAAATTTTAAATGTATTCAATTCCCAGCCAAAATTTCTCTGTAAGTCTGCCGTGAGGGCTTGGATTTTTCTTATATATTTAATAATATACTGCACTTCATTTCTCTTGAAAAGACCCATTTATAAATTTTAAATGTATTCAATTCCCAGCCAAAATTTCTCTGTAAGTCTGCCATGAGGGCTTGGATTTTTCTTATATATTTAATAATATACTGCACTTCATTTCTCTTGAAACGTTACAAAAAGGTCAAAATCATGTGTCATAGCTTCGTAGGAAATCACTAGTTTCACAAAGGGGAAAGTTCTTTTGTGCCTGTGATAACTTGTACAGCCAGCCTGTAATTGCCTGTCTTTCCGAGTGAGAACCAGATAAGAGAGGTGTGCTTACACCCCTCACTTTACAGGGGATTATGATGGAACTCAAGAAAAGATGTGTTCAACGTTACACAAGTGTAGATAATTATACTTAAATGCATCACTGCTTCTGGAAAATATTAATTAAAAGCACACAAATAGTGGATAAATAGCTTTACTTTTTTACTGGACTAGTAACATATTGCTCTACAAGCATGGTTTATCAACTACCTTTCAGATGGCCTGCCATTTCTGGGCCTCATATTGTCTGCTAGCCCCATGGTAAATGGACCCTTTGAGCAGATGAACAGAAGGTTAATGCTGACATGTTTGGCAAGCCTCTAGTGAGATTAGTAATCAGATCAGCTTAATAGTTGCCAAGCCTAACTGGGCTTCACTTCATTCCATTTAGTCCAGTGGTCTGAGGAGTTTTTAAAGATACTGAAGTCTAGGACCTATCCCCTGAGATTCTGATCTAATTGCTCTGGGATACAATTCTAGTCATTGTGATTTTTCCCCTTATATTTTATGATGAAAATTTTTGAACATACAGAAAAACAGAATTTTTATAAACATGCATACACCCACCATCCAAATTCTACCATTAACATTTACTGCTTATCACATATTGAACCACCCGTCATTCCTTCTATCCATACATCAATTTTTTCAATGATGGATTTTCAAAGTAAATGATAGACATCATACACTTCCCAGCATGAAGATTTTTTAAACTACCCAGATGATTCTAATGTGTAGCTAAGGCTTGGAACCACTGATTTGGACTTTGGTGTTTCCACTGGAGTTGGTTTTAGTCAAGCATAGCCTTATTAGTTGCAAGCTTCCTGCTCTGTGGGTGCCATAGGGACAATCCCCATAGGCAGCAAAAGAACAGTATCATCACATTCACTCAAGTCTAGTCTATTGCCTCTGAGTCCCAATTTCCAGGGTTATTTCTTTTTAGGAATTTGTTATAAAAATTCAGCAAAAAAAGGACATAAGCTCTCTATATTCTCAGTGAATGATAAAATACCTAAAACAATTTTTTTTTTCATTTTTTATTTTTGTGACCGGTAAGGGGATCGGAACCCTTGGCTTGGTATCGCCCACACCGCGCTCAGCCAGTGAGCGCACCGGCCGTTCCTATATAGGATCCAAACCCGCGGCCTCGGTGCTCCCAGCACTGCACTCTCCTGAGTGAGCCACGGGGTCGGCCCTAAAACAATTTTAATAAAGCTTCAAACAGTCACAGGATGGGTTTTGGCTTCACAAGTTTAGGTTTCAGCTTGTACTATAGGTATGTGAATAGATATCACATGGATGTTAATAAGCTGACAAACTTGGGGAGGTTCGGAGACTACAAAATTAGTAAATGACAGAGCTAGGTCTTCTCAAAATCCAGCAATATTTAGTTTGATAATTGGTATTAAAAAATTGGTATGTGAATAGATATCACATGGATGTTAATAAGCTGACAAACTTGGGGAGGTTCGGAGACCACAAAATTAGTAAATGACAGAGCTAGGTCTTCTCAAAATCCAGCAATATTTAGTTTGATAATTGGTATTAAAAAATTCAGACAACATGGTATATATACACAATGGAATATAACTCAGCCATGAAAAAGGATGAAATTCTGCCATTTGCAGCAACATAAATGAGCTTGGAGAAAATTATGTTGAGTGAAATAAGCCAGGCACATGGCAAGAAATTCCACAGGTTCTCATTCATGTGTGGGAGCTAAAAAAGTTGATGTCACAGAACTAGAGAGTACAATAGTGGTTGTTAGAGACTGGTAAAGGGAGGGGAGAGTGGAGGATGGGGAAATGGTGATCAGTGGATACAAAATTGTAGAGAGATATGAAAAATAAGATCTAGTGTTCTATAGCAATCAATATAGGGAGACGACAGCCAACAACAAATTACTGTATAACTTCAAGTTGAAAGGGTGTTGAATGTTCCCAACACAAAGAGGTGACAAATGTTTGAGGTGATAGATATGTTAAACACCCTGATATGATTATTGCACACTGTGTAAATGTACCCAAGTATCATATTGTACGTAATCCATAAATACAATTATCATAGAAAGGAAGGAAATACGAATGAAAGAAACAACAAACAAAATAATACATTGAACTTTCAGAAGGAGAGGGGTTATTAGGGAGGGGGAAGGGGGAGGGGGTTAGGGAGAAATTGGTTAATGGACACAAAGAATGAATATATTTTGTAATGATGAATATGTCAACTATCCTGATTTGATCATCACTTATTGTACACAAGTACTGATAGTCAACTCTGTACCCCACAAATATGTTTAATCAATTATGTCTCAATAAATAATTATTTTGCTTGCAAAAAAAAAAAAAAAACCAGACTACAAAAATCAGAAAATAAATCTCATACCTGGAGTTTTCCCTTTTCATAGGCCAGTTTATTTTTACTCTCAGTAATTTTTCCCAAAACGTTTTCCACCTTCTGTTGGGCAAGCTGATAAAGCAAACACAGGTATCAGTACCTCTAGACATAGAAAGGAGTAATTATTTTCCTTCCTACACAGGTATTTATACCCTCACATTTCTAAAGAAATCAAATTAAGATTCATATTTATTTGCTACTGCTGCCTCTTAAGTCTTTCCCTAGATAGCTGATCACAGCGCTAATATGCAACATGTGCAGAGACGGCTAATGAAAGTATGAAGCCTTAAGAGTCCCAGTTTGTTCTTTCTATTAATTCTCTTTTTGTTATATCAGTTATGCTTTGTAGTTGTGATCCAACCCAGATGTGCTGTGGCTGTGTGAGTGGCTGCAGGTAGTTTGAGGGGCATTATGCAATTCTTTAAGAAACAAGAGCTACAAATGACCACAAACACTGACAGTAAGAAGACACTTCAGTTACTACAGTAAAAAGCAGTAAAAAACAAAACAAAACAAAAACAACTCTAAAAAAGTTAAACATTTATTGGTGACTAACACACAATAATGCAATGTTTCACCAAGTACTCAATACAGTGTTATCTGAGACAAACATCACTGAAGGTTCTATATTTCATGAAATTACATATTTTCATTTTCATTATTTAAACAGCCTTCTGTTATTTTTTCCTGTTGTTTTTCTCAGAGTTTGTCCAAAAAATAAGTATAAAATATAGTTTTCTTTTGATTAAATTTTGGGCCTTATTGGTTCTTCCTTTATATGATATAAAGGTCACTATTAGTGATTGAATGTGGAAATTTTCACCTCCATAATCAATGTCAGTGTTATATCTTAATAACAGGAAACATTGATATTTGCCATATATTAAAATCATCTTCATAAACCAGCTATGGGGATAATACACACACAAGCAAATGTGACTGAGAACACAAACTCTCAATCACTCGTAGGCTGACTAGTTGCATATGGATCATTTGCAGTAAATGTCGAGTTCAAAGTCTTACTAATGTTAGTAGATATCCTATATTGACATAATTCACTATTTCTGACATATTCTGACTGATATAATCTGTAAATAACAGAAGGCCTGTTAAGCATTTCAATCCAAAGAATTTAGGCTTTTGTTTTATGTTCAATTTAGGGCAAGTTGAGAAAGATGAAACCATGTATATAGGGGTATTAATTTACCTAAGATATTTTCCTCACTACCTCCAACATAGTTACAGCTGTTCTTCGCTCACCACTTGGTAGTGTACTTTGTTTCATTTTAAATGTTGTGAATCTAACACACCTGTTTCTAAATAAAAGCAAAACACATTCCAAACTACATTACTAAATAATAACGTGTTAACTCTTTATTTTGCTCTGTTTGAAATATTTTCATGATAACATATGTCCTGCAAGAAGGCACAGTAGTCTAGAGCATTGTCTTCTCCTTGATAGTACCGTTGGCTAGAAGAATTAGCATTTTAGAAATTCTAGACTTGATAAAAACCTATGGAAAAGCCAGAAAGAGTGATCAGCCCTCGTATATCATCACCTACTCTAAAATTATAACCAATATTAAACTTGAGCAGATTATTAACAATATGACTATCTAAGTATATGTCCTATTAGAACCAATATTTATTTCATTCATAATTATACATATTTAAATTCAGGTTTTAAAAAAAAAATTTTTTTTTTAAATCACTATGTGTTGCTCCCACTAAGGGAAAGAAAAATATATTTTTTTAAAAAGTATTTAATTGCTTCCCTGCCTTTTGGCTAAGATCAACTGTAAAAGCATTTAGACCAGTACAGTATGGCTTCAAATAACCTAAGGGAAATAAAGATTGCCATCAGTAAATAGGAGGCTAGTAATAATTATTATTAGAAAATTAGTTAATCATCAATTAATTTTCTGCCTGTAGAAGACATACGGTCCCCTTTGCCACAGTGTTTTCTATTTGGAAACTATGATGCAAAATCATTCCATGAATGCAACGTTATAGTTTAGGATTATGTTTTAACCAAGTCTTCAGCAGCATATAAATTATAAAGATGGCTAATAATGCTACTAAAACAAAGCTATAATAATGATAAACACTCAATTATTTCATACTTCAGTTACAAGTTCTATAAATTAAGGTGTTGCGGTATTCTGTGAAGTGTAGGTATAGCATATAAAAAACCAAGAGCTAGATTTAACCTAAACTATGCTAGCTATACCAAATATTAATACTCAAAAATAACTTTGCTTATCTTCTTGGAATGTGGAAAGGTTTTCTGATTTTTTTTTTTTTTCTTTAAGAATAACTTAGAGGGTCTGGGTCTCTTACAACAGTATAAGAGGTGTCCAGGAACTTTCACAATACTGGTACTGTTTTTTTCTGTTATAAAGTTTCCTCTTTTAGGTGAAGGCATAAAGAAATTTCATTAATCTTTTAAATACATTTTTAAAATAATAAATTATTCCTTTTTTGCTACCAAAGAGAATACTAATGCAATAAGTGAAAATTGTCTAAGCAAAATCAAAATGTGATAGTATCTGACACAGGGTCACTTATTTAAATATTATGACACACAAAAAAATTGTTTCTAGTTGCTAAGAGAAAGTAGATGTTAAGACAGTTACTTAAATTACTGTTTATAGATGGTTTAATCAATGGAAGACCAGAATTTAAAGACCACATAGACGAATGAATATCTCTGGTTCTGAGTTGTGGAAGGCAGAAGTGAGATTAACCTTTGTTTAAATAATATTGGCAACATCCTATAAAGATTATCAATATACACAGCAAAACAGAAAGTGGGGAATCAACTGAGAAACAGAAGACAAAGAAAAATGCCAATGGTCAGAATACATTTTAACTCTGAAACACAAAGATATGAGGGGTCTTCAAAAATTTCGTGGAAAATGCAAATTATGAAACATCTATGCAGGTATTGCAAAAATTTTTTGCATAAAAATAAACTTGTTATAAACATGTCTGAACAGGATCTAGTTTGAAGCACTGAGAACAATAAGACATCAGTTTGAAAAGAGGCCCTATCAGAGCAATGAATTCTGTTAAAATTGAGGCAAGAACAAACATCAAATTGATGGTGATGCTTGAGTAGAAGAATGGTGAAATTATTGAGGCCTTATGAAAAGTTTATGGACGCAATGGCCCCCCCAAAACCAGCAGCTTACAAATAAATAGTTTGTTTTAAAAAGGTATGAGATGATGTTGAAAATGAAGCCTGCAGCAGCAGACCATCCACATCAATTTGCAAGGAAATAATTAACCTTGTTCATGCCTGCTATAGGTTGAATTGTGTCCCCCAAAGTTTCATGTATTAGTAAAAATAAACACATGGGATTACATCAAACTAGGAAGCTTCTGAACAGAAAAGAAAACAATCGACAGAGTGAAAAGACAACCTACAGAATGGAAGAAAATACTTGCAAAGTATAAATCCAAAAACGGATTGATATCCACAATATACAAGGAACTCAAACAACTTTATGGTGAAAAAACCAAACAATTCAATTAAAAAATGGGCAAAGGAGCTGAATAGACATCTCTCAAAGGAGAACATACAAATGGCCAACAGGCATATGAAAAAATGCTCAAATTCATTAATCATCAGGGAAATGCAAATCAAAACCACTTTGAAATATCATCTCACCCCAGTTAGACTAGCTTTTATCAAAAAGACTGAGAATAACAAATGCTGGAGAGGATGCAGAAAAAGAGGAACCCTTCTGCACTGTTGATGGGACTGTAAATTAGTACAGCCATTATGGAGAATAGTATGGAGGTTCCTTAAACAACTACAGATAGAACTACCATATGATCTAGTGATCCCACTATGGGGTATATGTTCAGAGGAATGGAAATCATCATGTCAAAGGGATACCTGCACTCCCATGTTTCTCCCAGCTCTATTTACAATAGCCAGGCTATGGAACCAACCTAAATGTCCATTGATAGATAACTGGATAAGGAAAACGTGGTATATATACACAATAGAATATTACTTAGCCATAAAAAAGAATGAAAGTCTGCCATTTGCAGCAATATGGATGAACTTGGAGAACATTTGTGTTACGTGGTTACAACCCAGGCTGAGAAAGAGAAACACCACATGTTCTCACTCATAAGTGGAAGCTGAATTAATAAATAAGCAAATAAACTAGAGAGAAAGAGAGAACAATCACAATAATATGTCGAACTTCTAGAAGAGGAGAACAGAACTGTGGTTACTAAAAGTGGAAAAGGGGAGGGGGAGGGACAGAGGAAGGGGAAAGGTGGATTAATGAGAAATTAATGAGAAATTGGTTAACAGACACAAAGACTGATTACATATTGTAATGATGAATAAAATAACTTCTGATTTGACCATCACATATTGTACACAACTACCGATAGTCAACTTTGCACCCCACAAATACATATAATCAATTATGCTTCAATAAAAAATTTTTAAACATTTTTAAATCCCCACTTTGACAGTGTTGAGGGTAGGAAATCCTGTTATGATAATTGAAAAGTGGGGCCTTTAAGAGGTGATTAGATTGTGATGACCATGCACTAGTGAATGAATTGATCCATTCATGAAATAATAAGTTGATGGCTTAATGGGTAGTAGTGGGTGTGGTTCTGAAAGCTTTATAAGGACAGCAAGTGAGCAGGTTAGCTCTGTCTTGCTCAGCCATTTTGCCATGTCATACTCTGTGTTGCTGGAGAGCCACCACAAAGAACAAGAAGGCCCTTACCAGATGTGTTCCCTGGACTTTGGACTTCCCAGCCTCCAAAGCTGCAAGAAATAAATTTTATTTCTTTATAAATTACATATTGTCAGGTATTCTGTTATAAGCAACAGAAATGGACTAATACAGTACTTAAAGAGCACTGACAATTAACAGCAGAAACAATAGCCAATACCACAGACATCTCAATTGGTTCAGTATACACAGTTCTGACTGAAAAAATAAAGTTGAACAAACTTCCCACTTGAAGGGTGCCAAAACTGTTGCACCCAGATCAGCTGCAGACAAGAATATAGCTTTCAATGAAAATTTTAAATAAGTGGGATCAAGATCCTGAAGCATTTCCTTGAGGAACTGTAACAAGAGATGAAACATGGCTTTACCAGTATGATCCTGAAGACAAAGCACAATTAAAACAATGGCTACTAAAAGGTGGAAGAGGTCCAATCAAAACAAAAGCAAGAGCAAAGATCATGGAAACAGTTTCTTGGAATGATGAAGGTATGTTGCTTGTTGACTTTCTGGAAGGCTAAAGAATAACATCTGCTTATTATGAGAGTGTTTTGAGAGTTAGTCAAAGCTTTAGTAGAAAAACACCTGGGAAAGCTTTACCAGAGAGTCCTTCTCTACTACCACAATGCTTCTGCTCACTTCTCTCATCAAACATGGGCAACTTTGCAAAAGTTTTGATGAGAAATCATTATCCTTAGACAGCCACCTAACAGTCCTGATTTGAATCCTTGTGACTTCTTTTTGTTTCCTAATCTTAAAAAAATCTTTAAAGGGCATCCATTTTCTCCAGTTAATAATGTAAAAAGGACTGCATTGGCATGGTTAAAGTCCCAGAATCTTCAGTTCTTTAGGGATGAAAAAAATGGCTAGTATCATCACTCACAAATGTGTCTTGAATTTGATGAAGCTTATGTTGAGAAATAAAGTTTATATTTTTAATTTTTATCTTTAATTACATTTTGTATGAATTTTTGAAGTCCCCATATATTATTTGGAAAAGCAGGAAGCAAACATAGAAGAATTATCTTACGATATGAAACGTAAATTGCCAAATATCAACAGTAAGCCACAAAATGATTTGATTTCTAAAACCATTTTAAAAATCCAGGTGAGCTGTAAAAGTTAGCAGAAGCTGTTAGAAGAATACACAAAAACAGTGAGATATTGGCATTTTGATAAAGCTATTTTATAAGTAAATTGTAAACACAGATTTTATTCAAAATATTTAACAACTAGTAGGACATGGCACCCAGCAAATCAAACCAACTTTAATACCTGCATGGGTGTACACTGACTGAATGTTATCCTAAATATTTAAGAAATAATACATTTAACTCATCGTTTAATTTCAAGTCGTTAAAGTCCCAGTTGCATGGGGAATTATTTATCTGTCTGGCGCTATTTCAAAATGTATGTTTAAAACCCAAAAGAGAAGTGGAAAGGATAGTTATTCCATTTGAACCCTGGAACCTTCCTACATTTGGATCTTTTCTCACTGTGGTTCCCCGTCTGTGGTAATGAACTCAACCCACACTATCACTAAAGGCCAAAATGGCAAAAATAAACCTAAAATTAGGAAATACAAGAGAAAAAGAAGAGAGAATAATAGTTATTCATGCATACTGTATGCGAGGCCCTGTGATGATGGGCACTTTGCACTCAATATGAAATTAATCCTCACAGCCTGGCTAGATAGACATGATCCTCTTTGTGTTATACTTAATCATTGCTTCTTAAACACCTACTATGCATTAGGCATTATCCTAGGCAAGGGAGTCTAAAGGTGACTAACTACTGTTGCATTAGAAGAGACTGAAGGCAGATGTATAACAGGTTTGCTAATCAATGTAGTAATTATTCTGATACGGGTGTACACAGTGTGCTGTGGGAACCCCAGTTAGGAAAAATCCCTTCAGCATTATAGGTCATCGGAGGTTAAGAACCTGCCCAGGTCACACAGTATATGAAAGCGGGGGGTGAAGCCAGTATGTCTGAATTCAAGTCTCTAATGTTACATACATAACACACACTGATGTGTTTATCTCCAAAAATCAATGAGGGGTTATACTAGAAGTTACCCTTTATTAAGAATTTCAAGTCTTAAAGAACAAAAACACACTGCCAAAATTGAATGGCAATAGGTTTAATGATATTGTTAAGATTCAAAAACAAATCCTGAAATCTCAACTTCATTCCTTAGATTCATACAGCAAATTGAAGGGCTTCCAGGCAGGCATGGTCAAAAAAACCTATAGGTAGAGGCAGGACTGCAAGCTAGAATTGAGGTGTGAGTTATCACTGGGAGATGTTAATCAAGAGGTGTGGTCAGTAGGCAAGAATCAACATTGACCAAATCACTGGCAAAATGTGTCAAAGTCACTAATAGTGTAAGGCCACAGGCTTGCGCACTGGCAATGGGTTCAGAAAAGAATCGGCAGACTGAGATGTGGTCTCTCAGAGGGCCAGAACCAGACGGTTGGTTAAGCTCAACTGAGCCCTGGCCAACAAGCAAAGCATATGGCTAAATCTTGGGGCGATAGAGGGTTGGTCTGAGGTAGTACAAAGAATATTATTTATAGCTAATGGATCTTCTCACTCCAATAGGCACTTACAAGCTTTTTTTTTTTCTTTTTCTGACACAGTTCGGATACCAAGAATTCAGTAAATGTTAGCTACCTGCTACATGTATTAACTTACTTAATCCTCAGTCTCATAGTAACAGTATTATTATCCTCAGTTTGACAGATTATGAAACTGAGGCTTGGAGAGGTTAAGAATCATACCCAAGGTCACAGCCAAAATTGAAATCTAGAAAGTTTAGCTTGAAAGATGTGAAAATATAAAATTTATATTTAGCCTGTGTAATTTTTCACAGTTAAGGTAATGAGCAATTTATGATGGGATTTGAAAGAATTTAGCTCAGATTAAGACAGACTCACACCAGGGCCTTCTATGGAATTTTCAAAAATTATTTGCATGTTATAAAAGCAATAACTAATTCTTTTCAAGTTTTCAAAAGCACACAAGCAAAATTATTAGCTTCTTAACAGAATGGTCATCTCTTTAAACCCCCTTCACTTGGAGAAAATGTTTTTAAAATTCTACCACTTATTTGTAATGCACTGACCTTTTCAAATAGCTTTTAGAAATCAGACTTATTAATTAATGAATATAAAATTAATTTCCTCACCTAAGTGAGGAAATTGTGACAAGGAAAAAACACAAATTTCTCTTAATTTACTGAAGAAAAATTATTTTAAAACATCAGATATATTTGTACTTTTCAATATTATAGATAATCTGCTGCTGCTGGTAGCATTCCAGGCTCCCAAGTCAGGGTGTTGGGGAGCTGAGAGCTTCAGCCATGTGCTCCTGACATCTGCAACCAGCCCAGCAATAACCACTGATCTGCCACTGGAAACAACCTGAGCTCCTGAGCCAGGGCACTGTGGGACTAAGGGCTTCAGCCACACACCCCTGACATCTGCAACCAGCCCAGCAATGGCTACCAAGCCATAGCTGGAAGCCCCCAGGTCTCCTCTGAAGGAATGAGGGGGGTGCCATGGGCCTCAACCACGACCCCCCCTTCCTCCTTCTCCCACCCTATTTCATTCCTTTCATTCCCCTTCTCCTCTCCCCCTCTCCCCCAACTGCTCTGCAACATCTTAAAATGTAAAAAAATAATATTAATAAACTTAAAAAAAATAAACAGCAATTTATAACTTAAAAAAATATTAACCTATTTAAATTCATTTTTTAATATGTCCTTTGTTGTAAATATCTATTTTTCCCACTAGAACACAATAAAATCAAATAAAAAAATATTATGGATAATCTGTGTGGGCAGATATTTACCAGCTGCCTTAAATTCTTGGTTTCTTAAATCCTCTATTGTTTGAATACTGTAGTGATCTCTGCCATATTTACCCTGAATCATTTAAAACTTGTGATAATTATTAAAACACAAAACCCATCTCCTGACTTCTGATTTTTTTTTTACTCATTAGTCATTAATTCTTACTTTAGACTGACCTTTTTATACCCACCCCATGGTAATCAGAAGTGACTTGCTGAAGTTCTAGGGAAGACATTTGATCTGCCAGCTGCTTATTCTCTTCCTCTAGAGTCTGCAGGTTTTTAGTTAATGCATTTATGTCTTCCTTTGAAAAACAAAAGGAGAAAAGAAACTACTTATGCCAGATCCAAAAAATATATTATTTTAAAAATGACAGTTGTAACTGTAATATGGACGGTATCTTATGCACATGTTTCCTTCCTTCTAAATGTGGGGATTTGATCAGTTTGATAGCTCTATGATGCTTTTAAAAACTTTTTTCTTTTTTCAGCTTTTCTAGTTGTCGTCAAGAGGAGGTTTATTGCAAATTATAAAGTTCATCTTTACCAGAAATGGTAGTCCTACTGGTACTTGGGATTTATTTAAGTATTAATTCTCAGCCATACCCCCTCAATGTCCACATCCAGCCCAGTGACTACCACCAGGCTGCTGCCAGAAGCACCCTGGGATCCTGAGCCAGGACAATGGGAAGCTGAGGGCCTCAGCTACACCCCACTACATTCCCATCCAGCCCAGCCATGTCTGAGCTGCCGCTGGAAGCCCCCTGGACTCCTCTGCCAGAATGAGGGGGATGCTATGGGCCTCAACCACGCCCCTGTTCCTCCTCCTCCAATCCTAACCCCCTCCTTTTTCCCTTCCCCCCCACAACTGCTCCACAACATCTTAGAATGTAAAATAATAATAAATAAAAAATGAATAAAAATTAATTCAAGCTTACAAACATAGATGCAGAAATCTTCCACAAAATATTAGCAAAGTGAATCCAGCAATATTTAAAGAGGATAACAAATCAGGATTAAGTGAAGTTTATCCTAGTAATGTGAAGCTTATTGAGCATTCAAAAATCAATTATTATAATTCACCACATCAACAGACTATAAAAGAAAAACCACATAACCATTTCGACAAATGCGGAAAAAATATTTCACAAAATTAACAATGATTCACAATAAGAACTTAGCAAACTAGAAGTGAAAGAGAACCACCTCTACCTAATAAAGTGTATCTACAAAAATCCTACAGCTAATATTAATCCTAATGGTGAATGACTAAATTCTCTCTGAGACTGGGAAAAAGACAAGGATATCTGCTCTCGCTATTCCTATTCAGCATCATATAGGAGGCTGTAGCTGGTGCAATAAGGAAAGAAAAAGTAATAAAAGACATTAAGATTGGCAAGGGAGATATAAAACTATATCTGCTCACAACAGACATGATTATATAGGAAATCCCAAAGAATCTATAAAAAAAATACTATAATAAGTGAGTTTATCAAGGTTGGAAGATACAATGTGAAATCTATTGTATGTCTATATACCAGCAATGAACCACTGGAAATTTTTTTTTTTTTTTAAATGCCATTTATAATAATACCAAAACCATGAAATTCTTAGGTAAAAATCTAACAAAATATGTCCAAGATTTAGTATGCTGAAAATTACAAAATACTAATGAGAAAAATAAAAGACCTAAATAAAATGAAGAGCTATATTATATCCATGTATTAGAAGATTCAATATTACTAATATGTCAACTCTCTAATCTCAATAGAAATCCTTGAAAAAAATTTTTTTTGTAGAAACCAATCAGCTCATTCTAAAATTTATATGAGGGGGCTGGCCGGTTAGCTCGGTTGGTTAGAGTTGGGTGTTATAACACCAAGGTCAAGTGTTCAGATCCCCGTTCTGGCCAGGTGCCAAAAAACCACAAAAAACAAAATGAAAATAAAATAAAATAGATATAAAAAAATCAAAAGAACCAGAATAACTAAAATAATCTTGAAAAAAAAAAGCAGTTGAAGGACTCTACCTAATTTCAAGTCTTATGATAAAACTACAGTAATCGAGAATTTGAAATTGGCAAAAGGAAAACATTTAAACAATGGAATAGAATACGAAGTCCAGAAACAGACTCACACAGTTCAGTTATGTCTTAATTTCTTTGTCATTAATTTATGGTCGGCTGATTAATTTAAAGGAGAAAGGACAGTTAATTAAAAGATGCTACTGAAGAGTGACATCAGCATAACTGGGGGAACAAGAATCTTTAAAAATCCTCTCCTCCAGGGCCGGCCCGGTGGCGCACTCGGTAGAGTGTGGCGCTTGGGAGCGCGGCAGCCCTCCTGCCGAGGGTTCGGAGCCCATATAGAGACTGGTCCGCTCACTGGTTGAGCGCGGTGCGGGCGCGACACCAAGGGTTGCGATCCCGTTGCCGGTCGCGGTACGGGCGCGACACCGAGGGTTGCGATCCCGTTACCGGTCACGAAAAAAGACAAAAAGGAAAAAAAAATCCTCTCCTCCATAAAAGCAATGAAAACACTAGTGAAAACTGATTGTCAGAGTCAACTTTTTCAGGACTGTGGAGATTAACAAAAGGTTTGCAGTAATCTATGGAGTGCTTAAACAATCGGCCAAATCTCAGTGAGAACAGTAAGCTTTGCCATGTTTTAACTTGTCCTGTTCCTATCGTCCATTCTCCAACTCTGCAGTAGCTTTGAAACCCGACAGTCTGGCAGTCATTAGAGGTGTAAGAACAGGGTTGGAGCTCTTTCAAAGCCTCATTCCCAGAGAACTGTCATTATATGACCTGTCTGGTGGTCCCCTGAAAGACCCCACATGCAAGGTTGTCTTTATTTGGGCTGACTCAGAGCTCATCCTGTGCAAAAAGCCTATTTCCCAGGGGCATATGTCAAAAACAATTAGAGGTAATCAATTAACTTTGCAGCTGCCTGAGATGGTAGGGAAGATCCGGCAAAGAGTAGGCTAACCAAAAAACTCAAAAGGAAAATGTAGGGAATGAAATGACCATAGGAGGCTTTGAAGAGCTCCTGTATATTCCTGGGAATCTAGAAATCCATGCATGTGTACAGAGCTGTGCATATGTACAGAGCTGTGTCCATGCTCAGGAAAGACCTGAGAAGAACCGTAAATCTCACTTCTGACAGACCTTGTGCTCTGTGCAATCAGAAATGAAGGCTAAAGGAGAGTTGTCAACTGCCGGAATGAGCACTGTAGGCATAGTCTAAAACGTATATAATAAAACTGTTGAAAAAAAGAGACAGACAATCTTGAAAGCAGAAAGACAGACATGGCTCATCATGTTCAAGGGATCCTCCATAAGAAGAATAGCTGATTTCTCATCAGAAATTTGAGGCAATAGGTATTCAACATGCTGAAAGAAAAAGATTCAACCAAGAATTCAAAATCCAGCAAAACTATTCTTTAAAAAGGAAAAGAAATTAAGACATTCCTAGATAAACAAAAATTGAAAGAATTTATATAAGGACTTTTCTTCTGGTTTAACCTCCTGAGGATGTGGCCCTTCAAAATCTCAGCCTAACGTGTGGGGTAATTTACCAGGGTCCCCATCTTTGTGGGGTCTGGACTGTGGGGCTAGAAAGCATGCTGTGTAAGAAATACTAAATGAAGTTCTTTAGGTTGAAATAAAATGGTACTAGACAGTAACTGGAATCCTCATAAGAAATAAAGAGTAACAGTAAAGGTAGCAACATTTGAAAAAACCAGATCACACAAAGTATGTTCTCTAGCCACAATAGCATAAAATTAGAAATCAATAAAAGGAGATTTGGGAAATTCACATATATGAGAAAATTTAACAACACACTTCTAAATAACAAATGGGTCATAAAAGAAATCTCAAGGGAAATTAAAGAATACTTTGACATGAATAAAAATGAAAACAGAACATAACGAAACTTATGGCATGCTGCTAAAGCAGTGCAAAGAGGAAAATTAAAGCAGTAGACACCTATTTTAAGAAAGAATAATAATCTTTCAAATTAATAGCCTAAGTTTATCTTAAGAAACTAGAAAAAGAAGAGCAAGTTAAACCCAAAGCAAACAAAAGGAATAAAATCATGCAAACTAGAGTAGAAATAAAATAGAATACAGAAAACAGCAGAGAAAAATCAATAAAACCAAAAGTTGGTTCCTTGAAAATATCAACAAAATTGACAAACCTTTAGTTGGACTAACCAAGAATAAAGTATAGGAGGCAAAAATTACTAAAATTAGGAATAAAAGAGAGGACGTTACTACTGACCTTACAGAAATAAAGATAAAGGGCTACTGTGACCAATTTTATGCCAACAAATTAGATAGCCTAGATGAAATGGACAAATTCCTAGAAAGACTCAAACTGCTGAAAATGACTTAAAAGGGGGGGGCGGGGAGTAGAGAATCTAAACAGACCTATAACAAGAGACTGAATCACTAGTACATTTTGAGCATACCTAATCAGAAAATCAAAAACCCAAAATGCTCCAAAATCCAAACGTTTTGAGTTCTGACATGACACTCAAAGGAAATGCACATTAGAGTATTTTGTATTTTGTATTTTCAGATTTAGGGTGTGCAACTGCATTAAGTATCTGCAAATTTTCCAAAATCTGAAATAATTCTGATCTCAAGCATTTCAGATAAGGAATATTCAACCCATAATAATAATCAAAAACCAGACAAACAAACAAAAACACAAAAAACCTTCTCACAAAGAAAAGCCCAGAACCAGATGTCTTTACTGCTAAATGCTGTAAAACATTTTAAAGAAGAATTAACACTAATCCCTCACAAACTCTTCCCAAAAGTAGGAAAAGAGGAAAATCTTGCAAAATCATTTTAAGAGCCCAGTACTACTTGATACCAAAACCAAAGACATCACAAGAAAACTACAGAAAAATATCAATTATAAATATAGATGCAATAAAAATCTCAACAAAAAACTTGCAAGCCAAATCCAACAACATATAAAAGGGGTTATATACTATGACCAAGAAATGCAAGCTTAGTTCAACATTTGAAATCAATCAATGTAATAATACCACAGTAACAGAATAAAGAACAAAATCCACAAGATGATCTCAATAGACACAGGAAAACATCTGAGAAAACTCAACACATTTTCATGACAAAAATTCCCAACCAACTAGAAATAGAAAGAAATTTCCTCATCTTGATAAAGAGCATTTACAAAAATCCCACAATTAACATCATACTTAATGTGGACAAACTAACAACCTTCCCACTAAGATCAGGAACAATACAAGGATGTCTGTTCTCACCACTT